TCCCAGGGCCCAATCAGCCCTCAGTTTGCCTGCCGCAGGTCTCCTTCATCTCGTATAGAATCCTTGCCGAAACCTGACCCGTTTGGCTCAGTGGATAGAGCGTTGGCCTGCGGACTGAAGGGTCCCGGGTTTGATTCCGGTCAAGGGCATGTACCTGGGTTGTGGGCACATCCCCAGTAGGAGGTGTGCAGGAGGCAGCTGATCCATGTTTCTAACTCTCTATCCCTCTCCCTTCCTCTCTGTAAAAAAATCAATACAATATATTTTTTAAAATCCTTGCCGATTTGAGGACCAGAAGCCTGGCTCTGCCACCTTCTTCTCGTCCGCCCCCCCCTCCTCCTTGGTCCGCCGGCAGTGGACTCCCCAGGACAGCCGGCCTCTTTTGGGGGACAATGCCTCTCTAGTGACCTAACCCCCACCCGGACCTCCTCACGGCTCCGAATGGCTTTGCCTCAGCAGCCTTCCCACCCACGCAGCTGCCACCCCTTCCTCCTCCCTAGACCCGGCCCCTGACCTAAAGGACAGGACGTCAGCCCCCGTCTCTCGCGCAGCCTTCCAGCCCCTCCTGGACCTTGTCCAGCCCAGACCTCCCACGTGACCACCTGGCCAGCAGCATCGTCTCAAGCTGGGTTTCCTAGAAGCAGAGCCAGGGGACTTGGAGGGAAGTGGGAGAGGAGAAGGGGCGGCTGGGGCTGGGCCAGAGGCTACCGTTAGCCTGTTCCCACGGGGCGTCCCGCAGGCAGCCTTGGGCTCCGGTCCGCCAGCCGGGGCCGCTGGCCTCTCCCAGGTCTGGGCATGATCGCCCAGGCGAGGCAGCGTCCACCGGCTGAGCCCTTAGTAACCACGCTCCGTAGTTGGGGGCGGGGCCTGGGTCTCTACGGGGGACCAGGCAGTCAGCCTGTGTCTGCTGTGATGGGTGATCTCAGTTTCCTCGCTCAGCCTCCAACCCAACTAAATCCTGTTCCGGAAAGATGCTACCGACCATCTTTTTTGTTCTTATTCCGGAGCCCGCCGGCCGGGGCACCCACTGATCCTTCACCTGTCCTCTGCTCAGCACCCCCTCTTCATGTTCATGTTGCTGCTTCCAAACTCATGACAACACTCACATGCTCTCTTACATTATTTACTTGTTATTCTTTAAAACTATATTTTTTATTTCAGTGAGAAAGGGAGAAGGAGAGAGAGAGAGAAACATCAATGATGAGAGAGAATCATTTTTGGTTGCCTCCTATATCGCCCTTCCCCTTCCACCCCGCATTGAGTCTGAAACCTGAGCATGTGCCCTGACTGGGAATCGACCCCTGACCTCCTGGTTCATAGGTTAACCCTCAACCACTGAGCCACATCCTCTGGGCTGTCTTTTAGTTTTGTGGGTAGTTTCTTTTTTTAAAAAATACGTTTTTTATTTATTTTAGAGAGAGAGAGAAGAGAGAGAGAAATATTGATGAGAGAGAAATATCGATCCACTGCCTCCTGCACCCCCATGGAGATTGAGCCACAACCCAGGCATGTGCCCTGACGGGGAATCGAACCAGCGACCTCTTGGTGCATGGGATGAGGCTCAACCAACTGAGTCTCACTGGCCGGGCTTGTGGGTATTTTCTTACACAACACAAAAGATGTAGGAGCCATATATATATTTGTAACATTCTACACAATCCTATATAATAAAAGCCTAATATGCTAAGTGTCCAGTTGGCCATTCAACCAATCAAAGCATAATATGCTAATGATATGCTAAGGTCACTCAACTGCTCACTATGATGTGCACTGACCACCAGGGGGCAGACACTCTGACTGGTAGGTTAGCTTGCTGCTGGGGTCTGGCTGATTGGGACTGAGCGAGATGGGCCGGACACGCCCTGGAGCCTTCCCACCGTCCCTCCCCAGCTGGCCAACCTCCCGTGTCCCTCTCCACCCTGATTGTGAACCTGTGGGGTCCCTCGACCTGGCCTGCGCCCTCTCACAAGCCAGGGTGAAGGATCCCACCCCTAAGTGCACAAATTTTGTGCACCGGGCTCTAGTAAAAGCATAATATACTAAGTGTCTGACAGATTGGTCTACCATTCGGTCAATTGCTGGACCAGTTGCTATAGTGCGTACTGACCACCAGGTGGCAGATGTTCTGACTAGTAGGTTAGCTTGCTGCTGGGGTCAGGCTGATGGGGACTGGATGAAAGGGCCAGATATGCCCTGGAGCCCTTCTGTGGTCCCTCCCAGGCTGGCCGGCCCCCATTGCCCTTATCGGGACTGGGCGAGATGGCTCCGATTGGCCCCGATTGCAGGCCAGGCTGAGGGACCCCACTCTGCACGAATCCATGCACCGGGCCTCTAGTATAGAATAAAAAACATTAGAAGGGCTAACGCTACCATAAATAAACAGAAGATAAAGATTAACACATACACACTGCTTGTATAAATTGACAAGAAAAAGACAACCTCCAAATATGCAAAGATTATGAGTGGGCACTCAGAACCACTTTAACCATTCAAAAATGCATTCAAAATCACTAGCAGTCAGAGAAATGGTTAAACAAAAATTTTTAAAAGTAACAAGTATTTAAAAAGTAACATATCACGTTATGCCCATAAATTTGCAATCATTAAAAAGAAGGCTGCAGTGATGGCAGGGTGCTGATAACTGCTGAAGTTGACTTGTGAGTATTTGGGGGCTCATCATACTATTTTTTTTAAGAAGAGATATTTTTTATTTTTAAAAAAATATATTTAATTGAGCCCTGGTCGTTGTAGCTCTGTGGTTGAGCATCGACCCATGAACCAGGAGGTCATGGTTCGATTCCTGGTCAGGGCACATGCCCCAGTTGCAGGCGTGCCGATTGAAGATTCTCTCTCATCGTTGATGTTTCTATCTCTCTCTCCTTCTCCTTTCCTCTCTCCGAAATAAAAAACATACTTAAAATTTTTTTTTATTGATTTTTTCAGAGAGGAAGGGAGAGGGATAGAGAGTTAGAAACATCGATGAGAGAGAAACATCAATCAGCTGCCTCGTGCACACCCCCTACTGGGGATGTGCCCACAACCAAGGTACATGCCCTTGACCGGAATTGATCCTGGGACCCTTGAGTCCGCAGGCTGACGCTCTATCCACTGAGCCAAACCGGTTAGGGCTCATCATACTATTTTATCTACTTGCAAATGAGTAGGAATGTCCACAATAAACAGGAAAAGACCCTCAAGCCACGCCTACTGCCGCCAGGGCTTGGTGAGGAGCACACTGTCATGTGGGGCTGGCGGAAATGTAAATTTTCACAGGCTTTTTAGAATGCAATCTGGAAACAATTGTTTAAAATAAAAAATGCAA